TATTTAATTATAAAAAGAAAATTATAAATGTACAAATAATAATAATATTATCACTATCACTATATAAATTAATAAATGATTCTTTTAAATGTTACCGTTAATTTGTTCCATTTCATCCGATTTAACTTGTTGATCTCACTTTTCACATTGTTGGCATAGAAATAATCCACTGGATAAAATGGTTTTAGACAAAATGATACTGCTTCGTCAAAATATCCATCCGTAGGATCATTATATAACAAAATACGTCTTAACATCCATGGATGATCTATTTCACGATAATAGTACTATATAAAATTAAAAAAAATATTAGCGTTAACGTTAACGTTAAAATTGTATATACATATCTATATATTTATATACTTATATAGATATATACATATTTATATATTATATAGATATATACATATTTATATATTATATAGATATATACATATATATATATTTATATAGATATATACTGTACATATACCTTTCTTTCAAAATGATATCTAAATGTCAAGACCAATTTTCCAAAATTGATAGTTTCAATTTTACAAATTTCTTCAGATGGAATAACAACTTCATATTTCATATTATTAAAACAAATAGAAATATGGGCCGGTTCATTCGGATCGAAAAATAATGACAATTGATTTATTTTATTTGTATTCAGTATATAATGAATTTTTGTAAATCCATAAATAGATATTTGTCGTAATTGTGCTTGAATTGTGTTGTAGAAACTATGCTTGCATTCGGTTGGTAAGACGGTCTTTGGTATTAATGTTTCTTGAAAAAAATTGTCCCGAGAAAAAGTATTAATATTAAAAAAAAATTTAAAATTTAATTATTAGAAATCGCAAAAAATAATTGACTTTCTATAAGTGCTGTAGTAAAGTTTAAATAATAATTATTTACTTGAATGTCCACGAATTGCTGCATTAACGGCCCATCCTGCTTTATTTTCACTGTTATTAGTACTTTGATGATATTTCATAATCAATCTTTGTTTTATTTGAATTACTGTATGATTTTTTTGAGAATTATCAAAAGAAATTTCGAAAAAATTCATGGTTTATATATCTCTCTTTGTTACTAGAATGACTTATTCTTAATTGTTACTAAAATGACGTGTAATACTTTTATTCTTAATTGTCACTTCTAATCCTACGTACTGATAAAGTATAAAAATACGTCAGATTAATTTTTTGTTATCAATATACCTGGTTATGTCACCCAAATTATTACTTAATATTATTGATTTCAATCATGTAACTATAGCTTGTCGAGTGACTTCAACAATGACATGAAATGTGGGAGGTTTAGTTTATTTTTAACTTTTTGATACGTATTAACGGGTCTAGTAAGAAATCCAGATATCCAAAATCTATTGACATCATGCGATGTGACAATTAAAAATTTAAAGCTGACAATGATTGTTAATGTGATTACTAATTTTTAAATATTAATTACACGTTGCGTGATGTCAGTATTATGGTCTGTCGAGATTTTGGGTGTCGGGATTTCGTGCTAGACCCGTATTAACTATGCTGTTTTTTTTTTTAATAAAATTTTTGTTTTATAAGCTAGAAATTAGAGACCTCGATTTAAATATATAATTTAATTCCCTCTCGCATTTAAGTGTTACTTATGACTTATTTTTTTTTACACGTAATTAATCGCATTTATAATCATATTGTAACCTGATCTCCAATTTATTAATTTAATTAGATCAGATATTTACATAAATCAGGGTAATTTTATAAATATTTTTTTAGGTTATTATATACTGGACTAAAAACTTTAAAATAAGTAAAGCGAAGCTAAAAAAAGACACAGTAAGAACAAAGTGAAAGTAAATATTTATTTTAAAGTTAATTGTATACAAAAATATAAAAAGCAAAAACAAAAAAACAAAAAAATAAAAAAGTAAATAATAAAAACAGTAAAAAAATAAAAATATATAAATAATAAAGTAAAAAAAAGCAACAAAATATAAAAATA